GTACAAATTCACCCATCGTGTATCTTCCTCGAACAGCTTTTGTTTTTCACTTACCCAGGCTGTAGAAACTGATAGAGCCATAGTCAAAAAAGAAGCAGATGTGGCGTGCCCGCACTGACATGGTGCTGAAGGTGTGAGCGCAGCTCGACGCCAGTGGGTAAATGCAGCAGGTGAACAGGAAGATCACCATGGGCCAGGTGAAGGAGTCCTGCCACGCTTTCTGCATCAGCACCACCGTTACTAGTTTCCATAGGAAGTACCTGCCGGGAAAACTGGGTTGATGAAATCAGAATGGATGTAGCACATGCTTATAATAGATGCGTCTAGTTATAAGGAGTGTATTTAGTAGTTTTAATTCATTTAGTTTTGGAGTGTGATTATTTGATGGTGTACTCAGAACAAAAAGGGCTGTGTGCACAGACAGACTGCAGGAAGAAGAAACTGAGAAACACGATGCACATGCTTTCATACGGGAAGGTCTAATGAATAGTTTGATGGGTATGATATAAATCGAATGCTATGGCTTTTACAGTCACCAAATCAATGCTGCTGAACAAACATGGCAGATTTTCCAGCCGTGGCAAACAGAGCTCTGAGTCCATTCAGGTGACACTTTAGGTGGGGTTTTCTTTTCATTCGTCAGCCATGGAAAATGTTAATTATTAACTAAAGAGCACTCTAGCTAACTGATAATTATAAGGTTAAAAAAGAATCTGGCAGTCAAAGCTGAAAGACGCACATCGATGACTAAACCCAACTTCTATCATTGCTCTGTTTTGTTAGTAAGCTGCTCAGTGCTGAATTCCCTGTGGTCATACCATTTGTGGTCACATATAAATATGAAATAATATACTCTATATGTCAGCTGTGAGCACAGTAAACACACGTTGGTGCCCATGTTTCACACGGCTTTCTGTACAACCACAGCATGTCATTTTTCACATTTCTGTTTGCTGAAGGATTAAAGAACCACAAAGCAAAGTCTCAAGGACTACAAGGTGACATCCCAGCTGTTTCCCCTCCTTCAAATCTGTACACTGAGCTGTGCTGTCTAGCTCCATATTTTATACACAGACCTGAGAGTCAAACTTTTCCTCAAGGCAAGAAAGCTAATAAGTGTTGAAGTGTCCAGAAGTATTAACTGGAGCCGGAACGTCCAACTGGCTCCGTGCTTTGAAGCGACACAGCAACATTAAGGAGGCCAGAAAACCTACATATAATAGCAGAAAGTTGTATGTAGCACCTATCAGTGGAGAAAAAGTACTTTATAACTCAGAAAATGATGTATTTGGCAGTTATCTCTGCAGCTGACTTGACTTTCCAAACACTTTTATCCTATCATGAGGATATTGTATTGCCTTGTGTATTGCAGTCACTGCGCCTCTTTAACAAATCAACATTACTCGTGCTTTTCCCATCACCGAGCAGTTAACTAATTGTGGCAGTATATGCAAAAGTCTTCAGCACAGATCTGCTCATTACTACCTAGGTCTACATAGAGCCCCTGGACACCAACACCCATGTGTCCTTTGCTTATCTGAACACAAAGACACTCACAACCACCCACACCACCCATGCAATCAAAGGAAGGAAGGAAGTGCAGAGCGACTACTGGGAAAAGAAGCCTCTGAAGTACCTTTAAATCCTTACACAACAAGAACAGCATCGAGACGTTAGCTACAGAGCTGCCGCAAGTCATGGACAGATTCTGTCGTCATGTTTGTCAAACAGACAGAGAAGAATCGCAAGTTTAGGAGGCGGAGGAGCCAAAACTACTTTAGAAAAGAGACCTCGGTAGTTTTCTTTGTCCACCTTTACTTCTGTTTGTTAGTCATGCAAACTCTTACGTTGGGTTTATCATTGAGCTAACTGACAGGCTTTAAACTGGACAGGTTTAATTACTGCGCGCAGTCGTCAGACTGGATTCCTTATCGCAGTTTTCAGATTTTAGTAATTCCCTCACGTAACGCACTGAATAATCAGTGTAGCTCATGCTGAAACCACATCTACACTTGAGTCTTGAGTATAAAAAAGGACATGTAGTCTCCACCATAACTATGCTCAAATAGAAAAATGAAAGGTTTTCTGTAAAT